CTCATATAATATTTTAATAAAGCACTGAAATTAGAAAAGATTTTACTTTAACACGAGAGCAACAGCTAATATTGCAATAATTGACTTATAGTGAATGCATTTATGTAGTTTCTGCAATAGAGTACTTTTAGACTAAGTACTTTGAAGAACATTTTTCTGTTAATACTTACTGCAGCAGTATTTAACTGAGGTCGAGAATCTGACCTTTAAACTATTCTGAGCTTGTTCACAAGACAAACAGTTCAGATGCTTTTGTAAAAGTGATTCATTTTCTATTATTCTCTATTATAAGTAATAATAAACTATTATCGAATCTACATAATAATATTGTCTGTGTCCTGTGTTTGTCAGAACTGAGCTACAGAGTGGACATGGTCACCTGGAACCAGTACCTCCGCTGGGGCGTCGTCTACATCCGGCTGCACAGCGGCAGAACCTTCACCGAGGCTCGAGTAGACCAGTGAGTCTGTGAACCCCTGAAACAAACACACATCCGGCTTCAATAAAAGAATCACTGGCTGAATCACTTCTGTTCTCGTGTTACAAACCTCAGGATCATGGAGTTAAACTTGACAAATGAATTTAAATGAAGGTGTCGTGAGACGTTAAAGCTCAGCCTGATGAGATCGTTGACTTGAAAAACATATTTCAAAGTTTCTATCACGATTAAAAAAGATAATTGAAGTGAGATTCCTGTAACCATGGAAACTCTAGTGTTCCACATTCACCCTCTGATCCTCGGTTGAGACATTTTGCCTCGTTTCTTTAATCTGATCATTAAACTCGATCTGCTCCTGGTTTCTGGCAGTAAGCTGTTCCGCTTGGAGCAGTACACCTCCACCCGCCTGCTGGCCCAGTTCGACGAGGATCTGCAGCAGGTCCAGAAGATCTCGCTCCGCATCAACACCGGGAACGTGATTGGACCTCGATACAAAATCCGACTGCTGAGGATCCGCCTCACGCCCCTGGAACATCCCGAGAGGTCAGTCCTGCTCTGCCCTCCATTACCGGGGACAGATATATTCAACGACTCACGGAGAACGAGTCAGGGTTAAGTTATAAACCTTATTTTCTTTGTCTTCAGGCCTGTGATGTGTCGGTTTGACATCATCATGGAGGAGAACATGGAGGTAGCGTTTCGACCTCTGCCCTGCGACTCTCGCCTCTGACTCCGTCACCACACAAACTCTTTCTTCTACGGTAACACGTCTCTACTCACCCCTGATCCTTCCGAGGGGAACCCAGACGTCCCCCGGGTGCTGCGGGGGGTTTCCCGGCCCCAGGTGGAACCCCCGGGGGCCCCACAGGACGAGGGACGCAGCCGCCTCACTCGGCTGATGGAGACGAACAAACCGCTGCTGCGGAGAACGTCTGGTTATTGGAAAGTCAGCGTGTTGTTAAAGAGACTGAGGTCAGGAAACACGACGGCTCCAGAAACCACCCGTCAGTACAAGTACACACTGAGTACACACAATATTCACACAGCAGAAGTAGCACAGTCCATGTTGAGTATTTTATACACTTACATCTTAAAGAATGAATTATAGAATCATGTTTTAGTGACAACAGAGAAAATAAAGAGCCTCACACGTACGTGACCTGCTTCCATCAGAATGTAAACAAAGATGGCCGACATGACGGCTCCTGAGAGTGAAGATTACTATGATAACTACATTATGACAACGTTATTCCACAGTGAAGGACTTTCATTTCAATAAAGAGAAACTTCTTCAGATGCTTGATGGAGAAAAT